TTTGTTTCCTTCCCCTTACTTTAGTTTCTCTATCCCCTTGTCTTCCCATCTTTTCCTTTGAGTCATCATTGACCGTTTGGTCTCAGACTGCCGGTTTTAAAGTGGGGCCTGGCTCGTATGGATAAGATTCTTCACACTGTGCACCACTCTGCTTTTTCACCAGAAGATGATCTCAAACGCTTGGCTCCAGGTTTAAAAAACAGCTCAAGGTGAAATCTCTGGAAATCCTCTGCTGGCTACTGTCCTGGTTGTTCTGGGTTCTTTTATTCTTAAAATAGGAAATTGAGTTCTGCTTTGTATTTATCTCTCATTGCATCCAGGACCGCCAGCTATTGGGAAACTAGTCAGAAGAGTCCGTGGAGGTGACTGGGTTCATCTAGTTTTGTTCTCAGGGAAGATGAGCTCGTGCCTTTTGTAAACTTGTTTGTTCTCTTCCATTTCTTACCGCTTTGTTCCTGGTGAGTTGAGACATCTAATCGTGTCTTGGATGAACACTCATAAGACCCTAGATCTACTCACTTCCTAGGATGCAGATAATGATTTTTGTCAACTATGTATTTCTAGGTGCAAGTAAAATTTTGTGGAAGGTGAATCAATAACAATTTCAGCAATACATCAACAGGAAACTCCCAGAAATTCAAGCCAGGTTCAGAAGAGGATGTGAAGTAAAAGATATTATTGATGACATCACATGACCTTGGCTGAAAGCAGAGAATACCAGAAAGATGTTTGCTTCTGTTTTATTTGACTATGCAAAGCCATAAGACTGTGTGGAGCATTAAAAACTATGGATAGCCTTGAGAAGAATGGGGATTCCAGAACACTTCATTGTACTCATATGGAATCTATACCAAGAGGCAGTCCTTTTAACAGGGCAAGGGAGTACTGAGTGGTTTAAAGTCAGGAGAGTTGTGTGTTAGGGCTGTATCTTTTCACCAGCCTTATTCAATCTTTATGCTGTGCAAATAATCGAAGCGGCTGGACTATATGGAGAGGAATGCCGCATCATGAATACAGGAATCCTATTAGCAAGCTGCAGTATGTAGACAACACAACCTTGCTTGCTGAAATCAAGGAAATTTTGAGGAAGTGCATTTGCGGATGAGGACTAAGGACAGCCTTTAGTGTGAATTACAATACAATATAAAGAAAACCCAAATCCTCACAACTGGACAAAGAGACAACATCATGATAAATATTGAGAAAAGATTAAAGTTGTCAAGGATTTAATTCTGTTTGAATCCGCAATCAATGCTCATGGAAGCAGCAGCCAAGAAACAGGGCAATGTGTTGCATTGGCAAATGTGTTGTACAAGACCTCTTTTCAATCTTAAAGAGCAAGCGTACCACTTTGAGGACTAAGGTGTGTCTGACAGAAGCCGAGGTATTTTCCACAGCTTCATATGCTTGTGAAAGTCAGCCATTGATTGAGGAAGACTGTACAAAAGGCACTTCATCCACATATCATACAATTCAATAATTCAATCATATCAAGAGGAGTTGCACAATCATCACCACAATCAATTCTAGAACATTTTCTTCTCCCTTGTACTTGTTGTTAGTCATGTAATTTTTATTTCAATTTTGGCAAAAATATACACAACAAAACATTCTCCAATTCAACACCTTCCACATCAGTGCATTTGCATTATGGTGCTGGGGAAGAATATTGAAAGTATAATGGACTGCCAGAAGAATAAACACATTTGTCTTGGAAGAAGTACAGCTAGGATCTCTTTAGAAGTGAGGAGGGAGAGATTTCATCTCACTTACTTTGAACATGTTATCATGAGAGACCGGTCCCTGGAAAAGGACATCATGCTTGGTGAAGCAGAAAGGTATCGAAAGGAAGACGACTCTTGGTCAGATGGACTGACAGTGACTGTAACGTTTGACTCAAACAATAATTGTGAGGGTGGTGCAGGAATGGTAGTACTTGATTCTTTTGTACCTAAAATTGCTATGAGTTGGAACAGATTTAACAGCACATAACAACAAAAACGTGTTATTCCAATTGGCTGTTATCCTATGGCTCCTAAGCCTTCAAAGTCAGACCCATGTTGGAAGACAGGTGGTTTTGTCACAGGAGCGTTCATAGTTGGGTCTTGAATAAATAGACATGCTTGCACCCACATCGTTGCATTGACATATACCAATAAATAGCTCTTCTTACCCATGTATGTCTCTCTATTTACCTATGTTCTAATTTCCAGTAATCATTGGTCTCTATTGATCCTTGTATCCTTATAAAAGAGGAATCATACAATATTTGCCTTTATAGACTTGATTTATTTCCCTTAGCCTTATGCCCACCAGGTTTATATATGCTACACTATGCTCCAGGGACCCATCGGTGTTTATGGTTGCCACCGTAACCTTCTGTATGTACCGCTGACTCTCAGTATCTGTGGGCTCTGCATTTGTGCATGCAACCAACCACACATCGAAAATATTTGGGGACCAGGAGAAGACATATAATGGTCAAAACAATCCTACAATATCGAAGAGAAAGTATCCAGGGCTTTTTACATAGCCCTTGCACCGTATTCGATATTCTGAGTAATCTAGAGATGATGGAAAGTACACCGGCAAATGTGTGCAGGTGATTTTGTTCAAGTGGCGCTTTTCTTAGTTGATAGAGTTTCCTGACCGTGCTCTGCTGACTACATGAGGGAGGTCTCTCACTTACTTCTGGGGTTCTCTGGTATGCAGTCCTCTTTGATACTCCCTAATGCTCGGCTGCATTTCTTCATCTCAAGGAGACTCCAGGGCTCTGTCTGCGTGTCCCCTCACTGTGTCAGCCCTACACACTCTCCTGAGAGTGTTGTTGGTTCTCAGAGAGGGCCACCTAGTCGGTTTGCCCTCATGGAACCCCAGGTATGCAGACTAGAACAGATCCAGAGGACTTGCTGCTTCTTAAAATGAAACAAAACACAAACAAGTCCCATTTTATTGTGTTTTCAGTGAAGGTTGTCGTGGCAATTTAGGGTTCCAGTTGCCGTTTCCCCCACAAATCCTGTAGCAACAGTAGCTAAAGCTTTTCACATTGTGTCAACCTGCTCTTTCATTCTGTTTGAGTCCATGCCAGCACCCCAGTTGTTCTGTCTGCTTAGCTTCATATCTTTGCTTCAGAATAATTGTTGATCTTTGGTTTCGTATAAATGTGGTTTTAAAAATTTTTTTAAAGGACAATTCTTTGTTTTCCTTTTTAAAATCATTTTATTGGCTCTCATACAACTCATCACAATCCATCCATCCATCCATTGTGTCAAGCACATTTGTACATTTGTTGCCATCATCATTTTCAAAACAGTTTCTTTCTACTTGAGCTCTTGGTATCAGCTCCTCATTTTCCTCCCTCCTTCCCCAAACCTCCCTTCCTCACAAACCTAAAGGACAATTATTATTTTGGTGCCAATATGTTATTTCACTAAAGGTTGGTTTCAGAGAATATATTCTGTTCCAGGGTTAAAAAGTATCTCAGGTGGATTTTCTGAGGGAGCCATTCAGTCTCAACTGCTAAGCAAGACTGGAGTTCTGTTCCACATTTTCCTCCCATTCTATCAGGGTCCCTGTATTGTGTAGCTAATCAGAATAGTCAGTAGTAGTGTCTGGGTACCATCTAGTTCTTCCGATCTCAGGGGACCCCTGGAATCATCTAGAACTTTCTAGTCCTTTCAGGAGCAGATCTTCAGGTCCATTTTCCTTGTGCCACTCAGAGATAGCATTCCCAAGAGTGTTCACTGGGGCCACTGTGGGGCTGACTTCATTTCCCTGTTCTTTCAGAAGGTCATTGAGGTTATAGTCCTTCATTGCCTGACATCCAGCGCCTTGAAAACCTAGTATCACAGAATCTTCTACATCCTAGTTTGGCGAGTAACCTCCGTGGACATAAAATTTGTGATCAAATATAGAAGTTTGTGATCAGATATTTAAGACACAGTGATTGGTTTGTACTCATCTGGAGGAAGAGAAGGAAAAAACCAGAGAGGAAATGAGTCCACAGGACTAATAACACACTTGAACCATAAACTTTGTCTAGCCTGGGGTCAGGACTAGATGGTGCTTGGTTGTCACGACTGAACCATTCTGATCTGGGATACAACAGAAAGTCCCAGAGAATGGGAGAAAAATGCACAACAAATTTAAATTCCTAAAAACAACTAGAGTTACTGGACCAATAGAGACCAGAGGAACCTCCCTCTACCTCGAAGACTATCACCCCAATAAGTCCTTTGGACTTGGAAGTGAAAACAGTTCTGGAGCTTGTATTTCAATAATAAATTGGCTTTTAAAATAAGCACTATCACCCATGAACAATGTGCTCACTTAAACAATCAACGAAATGAGACCAATTAGTCCGACATTTACCCCAAACTATAGTGGACATGAAGGGTCAGGGGATCTAGATCAATGAAAACAGAAACAACAGAATGGAAACAATAAGAAGCCTGTACATTGTGAAAATTATAACCAATGTCATGGAACAATTTAAATATTGTTAAGTCAGAATCTACTTGGCTATGTAAATTTTCACCTAAAACTCTTTAAAGAGTTTTTGCTCTGCCTTGAATCATATATTTTATCCAGTTTTGTTTGTTAATTCAGATGGGATAGTAAATTCAATTCCTATTATTCCATCATGGCCAGAAGGAAATATTTAATTGGATCTAAACTGTTTTGAAAAAGGAGTAAAATTTGAACTCATTTATTACATAAACAAGGAATTAATTGTATTTTGTACCTACTGTATTTTTATTCATGGGAGAATGGCTGCATCACATAAAAATGGTAAGACAAAACTTTTAATTTTTTTTAAAAAAAGATACTTTTTCAGTTAAAGGGAAACTATTACCACAAGTTTGTTTTGTCAGAATACGGAAGTACTATGAGATCAGCATTAGATACTGGAGATGTTTTTAGCTGGGGACTAAACCATTCTTGCCAGAATTGACTTGGGAGATTAGTTGGCCACATTAGCATCTTCATCCTTTGGCATAATGCTAGATGCTAATTGCACAAATACTTTTATATCAAGCACTTGTATTACTTTAACATTTTTAATGACCTTACTAGCTTTTGCTATTATATTAGGAAATGCTGTGGTCATTTTAGCTTTTGTAGTGGACAAAACCCTGAGACATCGAAGTAATTATTTTTTTCTTAATTTGGCCATCTCTGACTTCTTTGTGGGTAAGTTACATATCTTTACTTAATATACTATTTTCCAAAAATAATTTATTTCTGAAACCTTATTTCAAAGAATTTTATGAAATTGAGAACAATTAAAATAAGAAGTTTAAATATTAAAGCTCAGGAGGCTATATGATCCTATGGTGAATGTTATGCATATGCCAATGATTGTTACACTGGATGGTCAGCTGAGAACAATATATCTTCTTAAAGAGGAATGCTTGTAAACCCAAACCTACTGAGAAAAGAAATAACTCTTAAACTACAGCAGTTTAGAAACTATTCTGGAGTTCTAATTCTACCAAAAGATGACAGAATGTTGTCATAGTATTAGAGTAATAGAAATTAATGTATATGCTATTAGCCAGCACAATGAGAAAATGGGTTCTAGATGTTAATAACATTAATTTAGCCATGGTACAGAACCTTGTAAAATACAACTATCATGTAAAATATCTTATAGATAATATAGTATCATAGAGTGATATAATTTTAAGAGACCGTGGGAAACAAGCTCGTGTTTCTTTGATGAATATGCCCTCTGTAATTTTTCACTACCCAACAGTCATTGTGTTTAACACTGCTGAACATAGCAAGTAGATTTGCAGAAATATTAGCTGATTATATTGTTTCATAGAAGCTGCTCATAAAATTATAGCTGATATATTCAGATTATTTCTATTGATAACTACATAAATCATTGTTAAACATAAATAGAACTCAGAGGATATTTAGTTCTTTGCCTGAAATACAGTAATTGCTCAATACATGTTAGCTTCCTTCTCTCTTGATTTCTCTGCAGATAGGTGACAACCCACATCCACATCCCAGAGGTTTGTAGTGTGCCTACTTTGTGTAAATACCCAGTGGAGCAATGAGCTCAGCATTGGGCTGCTAACCAAATGGTTGATGGTTCAAGCCTACCAGCCATTCGATGTAAGAAAGATGAGGCAGTGTGTTTCATCAAAATTTACAGCCTCAGAAACCCACAGAGCCGTTGCATGCCGTCCTCTCGGGTGGCTATGACTCAGACGTGACCTGATGGCTGTTGATGTGCTTTTCTTGGTTTTCCTAAAGAACCGCTAAGTAATGAGGTGATTTATTGAAGAGAAGGCAACCTCCTCCTTCAAGGACGAGAACTTCACAACTGCCTCTACAAGTATGAAGTGAGATGTGACCTCACAGAGATACCCAGTGGAATGGGTACTCAGAGGTGGGAGAGAGCATATGTGACATTGGAAATGAACTTTGAAGGATGAGTAGAATTTCCCTTTGGGAGAGATGGGTAGCAGAGGAGACTTGGAACCATCAACATCAGCCTGAGGGCAGAAAAACACCCTGTGTATCTTCACTCATTTGACTTCCAGGCTGGCTGGTGTCTCTAATGAAAATCTCCCAGTAGCAGGACATGCCTGTGTTGGAATTCATTCAGCTGGCCATTTCCACATTTTAAAAGCAGGATCGCAAAGGATCGATAGAAGGTTCACTTCAGAGGCATTAAGACAGGCAACCTGATTCCAAAGACAACCTGCAGCATTTCAGGCAGAAGTCAGAGGAGAAAGGTCTGAGCCTGAGAGAAGATGGGAAGCAGACTCGGGAGGCAAAGCTCTTAAGGGTGGTGTCGAGCAGGGAGAAAGAAACATGAGTTAAAGACTGAGTTTGGGGACTTCGTGAAGGAAAAAAAGTTCAGCACTATTCATTGAAATAGGGGCATGTGGATAGCAAAGGTCATGAATTCCCTTCCAATGTTCCATTTAACGTTCTGGAGGAAACTTCTCGCTGGAGAGACTGACTAGGAGTCAATGGCACAGAGATGACAGGGTCACACGTTTAATATTGGCGACTAGCCAATGTTTTTTTTAAAAAATCCAACAGCTCAAGGATCATGTGAGGCTGGCGGAGGCAGATTGGGACATCATGTGCTCTGACTGTCCTGGGCATTCTGGCCAAGTGCCTTCTCACAGATTACAGCACGGCTCTTACCTAGAGAATCTAACTTTGTGGTATCTGTGTAGATTCCTCAGGCTGAGTTTACTGCTGAAACCCAACCACACATTTATTGACAAGAGTCTAGTGTCAGAATAGATCTCATCTGTGAACTGTCCCAGGAGGGCCCTGGATGTATCTTGCTACTAGCCAAAAGGGTGGTGGCTGGCATCCATCCAAGGCACCTCAGAAGAAAGGTCTGGCATTCTAGTCCAAAAAAACTTAGTCACTGAAAACCCTATGGAGCGCAGTTTTCCTCTGACACCTATGTGGGGTAACCAGGAGCCCAGATCATCATGAGTTGGAATCAACAACATGACAACTGGCTTCTTCATATATGAACCCTAGGGTGAGCATGTCTCTCTCTATTTATCTCCTTCACATGTTCAGATTGTTCTGGGGTTCATGACTCGCATGTCCATGTGATATGTGGCCCAAAAGGGATCTTCCGGGGCAAAAGGCCTAATGGGATTTCCATCATGGCAAATTTGTCTTTAGAACTTTCATGCCCCCATGATAGACTCTTCTTTTGCTCTCTCTGCCTTTATCCACACATTCTCCGACAGCCCAATGAATTTATTGAGGTTGTCAGTGGAGGTCAGAGCTCACCATTTTATTGTTGGTTCTTAGGAAAGGTGTCACTTCTTAGCTGGCTTCTTTACACCAGAGTGATGGTTAGTTTTTGTGAGTTTGTTTTGCTTTTGTGATGGCTATTTTAAAGCAAGCTAGGCTTCCATATTTTCAGTGTTCATTCATCCATCCATTACAAAAAAATCATGCCATTATGTAGCTCCTGGAGATACAGCAGTGAAAACTCAGGCAAGAAGTCTTACCCTCATGGTGCTTCTATTCCTACTGGGGGGAAAGGAAGGGAAAGGGGAAGGGAGAGAAAAGTCTTTGCAGAAATCTGTGAGGCCATAGGCAACCTTACCTCACCTGAGTCCTCCCCACATTTCTTCAACCTCACCTCTTAAAACTGCTACTCCCCTTCTTCCTCTCTCTCCTCCTGCTTCTCCTCTCTTCCTTGCCTTTCTTCCTTTCCTCTCTGTGTTCAACCGGGTTGACAAGAGAAACAAATTCATAGGCACTCATATGTGTAAGAGAGAACTTTGTATCAAAGAGCAATCGTACATTAAGAAAATATCCCAGCCCAGTCCGGATCAAGTCCCTAAATCTGATATTACCCCATATGTTGATATTAGTCCATAAATTCCTCTTTAGACTCACACAGCCATGCAATGACACAGGTCAGTGGTAGAAAATCTTGTGGATCCAGTGGTGGCGGAAGCATCTCAGCACGGTGTGGGTCTCTACATGGCTCCTCCAGCTCCAGGGCTCTGGCTCTATCAGCGTAGCTCCATGTGGCTTATCAACAGGAATATCTTGCAGGGAGTGAATGTATCTGGCCTCCAGTGAGCTATTTATCTCCTTCATGCCTTCAAATGATTTCATTAAGCTGCAACTAGATGGACAGGCTAGACTCCACCCCTTCACTCTTAATAGTCTCAACTTGACACCAGATTATGTAACTACCACATTCTCCTTCATCTTTCTTTCTCCCAATTCCCCTCCCCCCTCCTTCTCCTTTCTGTCTTCACTTCTTCTTCCTTCACTTAATATAATTTATTTGTGTCCGCTCACATTTTCTTCATCAGTCATACCAAAGGCTCATTATTTTTTTTCTTTCTTCAAGAAACTGGCTCTTAAAACATGAGGTACATTTGATCTAGAAGCATGGTTCGTGGTAGAAGTCGTAAAATCACCGGGGGTGGGTGTATCATAGAAATATTTCCTGGTCATGTTGTTTGATTCTCCTTTGGAATGTGCCACAACCATCCCCATCACCCAACAAGACAGAGGCACCGATGCGGAAGCATTGTGTAGAATAGTAGGAGATAACAGGGGCTGTTACACATAAAGCCTCAGGCCAGAGCCCACTTTGAGCTAATTACTATTTTAAGCCCTCCTAATGTTTCAAACATACCATTCCTCTTTCATCTGATCCAGCAATTGTGTGGGAAGCATATTTAACTCACCCCTCCTTTAACATTACAGTCATTGGTGTTTGTACTGTATCTGATTGCTGGCATCTCTCTCTCTGATATCACTCTGTGGAGGAAATGAATGTGGCTGTCGGAAGGCCTCATCCGGATAATTGGAAATCTCCGCTGTGAGTCAAAATATATGACCCTCTTTTTAAGCTAGCTCGATTTAACTCAGGGCACCCAAACCCAGTGACGTATTTTACACCACAGGGAGCGCACACAAACACCCTTGCTAAGACAAAAGGCATCATTTAGAATTGTATTATTAATAAAGCTACAAGGACAACATGAAACATTGGAGGTTATTTGTCTCCACGGAAGCATCGGCCACATGGCTCTTCACGTCCAGGGTTTTTCTCTCATACTTAAAGGTCAGTCTCGGTACAGAGCTGGGAGTCCCCATTCCCTCGCACTGGTGCTGAAAGTGCCCCATTTGCATCCTGAGCGCGTCTTGTTCACCTTTTCCTCTGCGTTAGCTGTGCTCTTCGTCTTCCTGAGAGGCTGGCTTGCTTTTCATCACACACAAAGGAAACACCTGTCTGATAAAGCATGTGGGGACTCAACACTGACAAGGACCGATTTCACCGGCACTCCCACCGAGTGGGTCACCTGCCTGAAATGCCAGCGCAGCGCAAACCTCCTGATGGGCTGTGGTTCCGTGAAGCCATTGCCTGGGAGAGCTCACTGCCCGCAGTGTGGGTCGAGTTGACCGACCCCCGGGGGTTTGCGGTCAGTCGGTCAGTTCCCTTGCTGAAATCAGGCTGCTTGGTTTCAGGCCAGCCCTCTTCACTGCCCCTGAGAGCCCCCCCAGGAGAATCACGTCTCCTTCTGGAGCCTCACATTCTTCCTGGGAGGGGCCTTCATGGGAAAATGGATCGGAAAGCTCCCGTTTTGTTTTGTTTTTTTCACCATGAGCTTTTTGAAGCCCCCAACCTAGTACGTTCATTTATTTTGGACCCCCTTGCACCTGCACCCAGCATATGGAACGACCCAGCGCCATGTCTGGGATCTTGCAATTGTATCATGAACATCAACCGTCATTAGTTTTCCTTACTGCGGTTAACTGGGCGGGTCTCTGGTAAACCCCGGCTGCTAGGAGAATTGGAAAGATCCACGGAGAGAGGTAGAGAGCACTGTCCCAATCCTCAAGCCAGATGAATGCAAAGATGAAGCGGGTCTGCGGGGGAACATGCTAAGTGTGGGAGAAAGGAGAAGACAAAGCCAAGGCCAAGAGTGTGCAGGTGAAGGACAAGTCACTTCTGTTGAGGAGATTCCAAGAAAGAGAACATGGAGGAAGTCAGGTTCTTAACTGAGTGAAGAAAGAGATGGAAGGAAATAGACTCAACCAAGGGAGAGGCAGGAACTCCAGGAGGGAAAAGGTAAAAGGGCCAGGGGCTGCAAGAAGGGTTTCCCATTTCATGAAGATGGCTTTGACAGTACAAGACTGGAAATAAAGCTTGTTCCGCGCACTTTCTTTTAAAAAGCCATATGGGGCCATGAAAGGTAAAATGTTCACAAGAACAATTAGAAAAATAATGAGAAATGAAGTCCTGGGGTATACTTCAAGAGGGACTAAGCTTGAGAATCTTAGGCGGAATGAAATAAGCCAGTCACAAAAGGGTACCTCTTACATGCTCCTACTTAGCTGAATTTTCTAGGAGAGTCAAGTGTGTAGAGACAAGGTTTATCAGTGGTTCCCAGGTGCAGGCGGAAAGGAAGGGAAAAGGTGGCCTCAGCGCTCAGGGGATACGGAGCTTCTGTTAGGAGGGAGGGTACCATGTGGTGTGGACATGAATCTAATGTCCCTGAAAAGAACACGTGAAGATGGTTGAATTATTTTTTAATCTACATATCTGTTTACCACAATTAAAACACCACTACCTCAATAAAACATAGGAAATTAGACTTGAGTTTGTTGATGAAATAGCATGAATTTACAAGCAAGCAATTTTTAGCTGACTCGGCTATTCTACTATGTTGTGTACAGTGTTCACAATATGCTTCTTTGTATTAATTGGGGTGTTCTGTTTTTCACTCTTATCTGTGCCCGCAACAGGCATGATCTCCATTCCTTTGTACATCCCTTACGCATTGTTCAAGTGGAGCTTAAGAGATGGTCTGTGTACATTCTGGCTCATCATTGACTATCTCCTGTGTACGACATCTGTATATAACATTGTCCTCATCACCTATGATCGGTACCAGTCAATCTCAGATGCTGTAAGTCAAAACCTTATTTGTTTTATGAGAGTATAGCATTTTAAATGTGGGGCCTCTAAGTAAACATCTTTAGGTATAATGTTTTGTTTAGCTGCGAAACTTTAAAGGAGCTTTATTTTGGTAATCTGACATAAAATTCTCCTTAGTGGAAATTTGCTGCATGCAATTCACTTCCCTATGGCCTCTAACATGGGAGGCATCTAATAAACAAACAAACAAACAAACCAAACCCAGATAGACCGTGAGAGGCGGTGTGAGGCGTATACTGCTCACCTGTGAGGAGTTTGGGGTTAGGTGTATCTCTGCCCTTCCAGGGACAGATTGAAATGTGAATGCATGTCTCAGGATGCAGCTTGGCAAACAGGTCAAAAGGACCCTAGATTGAATGAGAAGAAAAGATCAAGATCAATTCTGAATGGCCTAAAGAAAAGATGGTACACAGGGCAGCTCTAGGAGACACCGAGATCCAACCCAAAAGGTCAAGGTTCAGTGCCAGTTTAGAACCACACAGTCTTGTTTACGGGTTAGTGGCAATTCTTAAGTCAATTCAATCCCTCAGCCGTAGAACCTCGGAGAAAACCAGGTTTGTACAAGATCAGTGGTGTATTAGCCTAGGTACTTTGGAGAAACAAATCCACAGCGACTCATGTATAAGAGAGAGTTTTATGCAAAGAAAATGTGCATCACGAAAACACCCCAACCCAATGCTGCCCAAGCCCACAAGTCCAACATTAA